TTTTTTTTTTTTTTTTTTTGGACTGAAAATGGCAATATTAATGTAGATAGGCTTTTCAGGCTGGCCTTAAACTGGTGGCAGTCCTGCTTCATCCTCCCAAGTGCTGGGATTACAGCTGTGTACCCCCACACCTAGCTGGGCTTTCATATTCTTGAACCCTATTAGCATTGATTATGCTGCTTTATTATTTGCTTTCCTCCTGGTAGTCTCATTCTGCCTCATTGCTTATTCTGAGGCTTGCAGTTATACTATGTATATATGTATGCATGATATATGCAGAGAGAGCTTTTTTTATTGTTGTTACTGGAGAATAGAACTCAGGTCCTACAGCATGCTAGGCAAGTGCTTTATCACTGAGCTATAACCCCCAGCCTCATGTTTTTGTTTGTTTTGGTACTGGGGATTGAACTCAGGTCCCGGCACTTGCGAAGCAGGCAGCAGCACCACTGAGCTAAATCCCTGGCCCCCAGCCTCATTTCTTAAACTGAGATATAAATAAGTCAAATTTGAAGGAAATGTGTTATAAACACGTAACTTAATCATGTTAATTTAAATGTTTAAACCATTCAACTTTGCTCCCAATTTTAATCCTTTCAAAGCTTCTCTCACTTTCCACCATTTATTAGGGCACAGTAGTTGAACAAACATACTGAGCCCTCACTGTGCTAGACAGTGTGGTGTAACGAGATGAGCTCTAGATTCATTGTTATACTTTAGACTCACTGCATTAGGTCGAGCTGTTCTTTAACCTGTAAGCCTAACTTCACAGTGCCTGCCATGTGCTAGGCACGCCGTGTTACGTCATCCATACCTCACATCCAGCCCACTGATAGCCCAGCCTTCTGAGGCTACATATTTTCCTTAGACATGAAACCAGTAATTTTAATACCTGGTGAAAACTATTTTAATAGAAATGTTAACAAATTGTTGTTGGGTATCCAGGAGGAGCCACTTATACTTCTTTGGAGAACCAGAAGAGAAAGAGATAGTGGGTTTTTATAATCTCTTTGAGGACAGGAATAGTGACTGTTGTATACCTAAGTGTGGTGCATACAGAAAGTACTTGAGAAATGTTTATGGAATTCTATGTTTTAACTTTTTTATCTTTAGTGTGTGACTTTCTTGGAGAGAAGATTGCATCTGTTTTGGGCATCAGCACCCCAAAATACCAATATGCCATTGATGAGTACTACCGGATGAAGAAGGAGGTGTGTCTCCTTTTTATATTTTCTTGATTCAGTTTGTTTGCTGTAGACTTGGTGGACTGGATCATGAGCATATGCATCCTCTAGCTGCCCAAATAGGTGTGGGGATCAGACCCAGTGTCTTGGTGTCAGGCAAACATTCTACCACTGGAGACAGCTCTTTTAGTTTATCAAATTAAAATGTATTTTAGAATTGTTTAAAACTGGAATTTCTGAGGGGGGTTAAAAAATTAAGGTGTTATATACGTGTACCAATGAATATAATCATCATGTACAGCAAACGTGAACTAATAAATGTAAAAAAACCTCAAAGTTCCTTAAGATCCAGATACAAAACTAAGCTGTTTTGTTGTGTTAATGCAATGTGAAGTACCGTCCATGTGTTAATCTTCATACATTTTCCCTTTACTATAATGAAGAAACAAGCCCAAGACACTGTATGTGGAAATGGAGGGTGTACATGTCTTAACCTCCTACTGGATTGGAAATTTGACGGCAAAGGTCTCTAGACAGGAAGTGCATTAGGTGTTTATAGGAAAAGCAACCATGCTGTACCATTTAATAAATAAAACAACCTATTCAATCAAATAGGCTGACACCTTATAATTAAAGTGACATAGTAATAGCTCATTTTAAAATTAAGATTAGGCTTAATGTGCAAAAAAAAGGTCTCTTCAAAGTTAATCCAGGTCTCATTTAAGCTAATTATGCTGGACTATGTTTAAACATAACTTCACTTTCTTTGATGCTTTATAATACTGTTTTGAAAACAGGGGAAGGAGAAGTATGTATTAATTTAGATCAAATGAGGCCAGGTGTGGTGGCACACACCTGAATTCCCAGCACTGGGGAGGCTGAGGCAGGAGGAGACTCTATCTCAAAAAACAAAACAACACAACAACAAAAATTAGACCAAATGGACATGGCGTTAGTATAGTTTAAAAAAAAAAAAAAAAAAAAAAGCTCCTTGACAGAAGAAATACTTATGACTTAATCATGCTAATTTAAATACAGGTTTAAACTTAAATCTATTTAAACTTAAATCCCCCTGCTTCCAATTTTATCTCCTTTGGTGCTTCTGTTACTTTGTTTTTGAAGGTCCAACTGAATAATTACTATCTGAATATTAATATTTCAACTATTGATGTTTCCACTTTTTAGGAAGAAGAAGAAGAAGAAGAAAACAGGATGTCTGAGGAAGCAGAAAGACAATTCCATCAGAGTAAGACACAGGCTAATTCCTCTGTGCAGACAGATCAACCAGAAACAGTGGTATCCACTTCGTTTGTGAATCTTAATTTTGAAATGGAGGAAGACTGTGAAGTAATTACAGAAGGCAAACAAAACCCAGGCTCTGTTCCGCCATAGAATCAAATGACTATCAAACTTCAAATGCTAAATTTTTTTTTGTACCAGGAACTTTCACATTCTCTATTCAGTGGAACTTAAAACAGTTATTTATATTTTAAATTATTAACTTATCTGGAAAGGAAAAAAATGTTTCTTCATTCTTATATTCATTCTATATTTAGTAAAAGTCAAATCTGAAGTTTGGATATTTCTACTCTGTGTTGAATTAGTGCTTTAGCTTTTCCTTTTTGGAGGGGGCGGTAGTGCTGGGGATCAACCCAGGGCATGTTAGCAGGCACTTTACCCGAGCTACACCCTCAGCCCAATGTTTTAGTTTTAAAATGATCCTTAAAAAATTAAGGCCTTAATAAATTAAGAGGAGGCCAGGGGTTTAGCTCAGTGGCACTGTGCCTGCCTCGCAAGTGCAAGGTCCTGAGTTTGATCCCTGGTACCCAAAAAAAAAAGTTAAATTAGCAAACTCGTCTGTTATTTATGCATTTGTAAAGAGAAAATATAAATTGTTGACTAAAGCTAACTGGAGCCAGTAATCCTATAATTTCAGATTAAAATGATTCCCCCCCCACATTTTCTCATGTTATGCCTTACATTTTTAAGCTTTACATTTAATATATTCCACTAAGGATGGCTCAGAGTGTATAATAATGAGCATAATGGAAGCACTTTTTGAGTTCATTGAGAATAACTATTTTATGGAGAAGTGTTTATTACACCAATATTAATAACATGGGTTTGCATTTTTTTAATGCAAGTCACTTAATGTTGTATTTTTCAGTAGTAACTAAAATTAAGCTTTGATCATAAAGTTAACACTAGCTATGGAATAAATTAATGTAACACCTGAGTGATAGAAGCAAGATGCCGAGTGGATAATCACTCATTCAGCCCTGAATGCCTCACACAGTTGGGGGTGAGGAGTTGGGAGACAGGTACAGATTTAACTATCAAGAGCTGTTAAATATTGTACAAGGAATAATAGTAACATAATAAAATTAGTTGCTTGTCATTCACCATATTGAAGTAGCAACAGTAAGAAGGGCAGTTTACTTAAACCAGGCTGGCCATTTCTCCACCTACTCAGTTATTTGTAAACTTTACAAATTTATATACTATAAAGCTGATTTTGAAAATATTCCTAAATAGATGCATATAACCTTGAGATCTTTACAAATGTGGATAAAAACACTTAGTTGGAATACTCTAGAAATGCTGTTCTTAAAAAAGCCTTTTTGTAGAACCTGGGGATGTAGCTCAGTGGTAGAGCACTTGTCTAGCATGTACACAGCCCTGGGTTCAACCCCAGTACTAAAAAAACCCAAACCAAAACACCACCACAAGAGCGTTTAGAAATTATGTTAACAGCCTTCTAAACAACACTTAAGCTTTCAATCAAACATGTAAAGTACAGCTTAAAAGAAACTTAAAATACATACAGTGGCCCTATTACGGAAGTCTACTGTCAATAAACATGAATTAAATTTTTAACTGAAGCTCAGGTTTTTCAGCTGACAGCTGAAAAATGAAATTGAAAGCTGAAGTTTTTCAAACTAAGTTATTTAACTGAAATTTGAAGAATTTAGGAAAGATAAACTTAAGGAGTTTTTAGCTATGTGGATTCGTGCTATGGTGGTTCATAGTATTTGGTCATCTTTTTTATTCATGGGTATAAACTATATAAATTAGTGCTTAAAAATCTTGAGATAATGTAATTAATGTCACCATAAATTATACTAGTGGCTCTAAAGCCCAACTTCTTCCCATTTGTTTTTAAATTTGAGATAGCGTCTTTAGTTCAGCTGTTTAGTTATTAACCAGAGGTTCTAATACCTACGAGTTTACCTAGAAACCTTTCTGATTGTAGAAGATAGTGACTGATAAAGGTTTTATTTCACCACTTGTGCAATAGTGGCCAGTTTGTAATGTTTAATAGTTAGTTATTCATTGTGCCTTAAATTTTTATACTTTTTTGTTTATGCAAGCTATAAAATTTCTCATAAAACATTAAATGATTTGTGTTATTTTGAGCCTGTTTTACCCTTTTTTTTTTTTTTTGGTACTGGGGATCAAACTCCAGTCCTTGCACTTGCAAGGCAGATGGTGGAACCACTGAGCTAAATCCCTGGCCCCTACCTTTTCCTACTTTCCAAATCTTTGAAGAATTTTTCCCTCCGAAGCATAGTTCATGATACTCTACTTTCTTCCCATCTTCTCATCCAAGCTAAACCCAACAGTAAATATAATGCAAGAGTTTTTACACTGAGTTAACAATTCTCTAACAAAAATTCTTAACAAATAAAGGCAAAGTTTTATAATGTAACCATGATAATGGTTAGTAGAGCTAGAAAAAATTTTTATTCTCGGACTTCACTGAACAGGTGTCAGAAATATTCCATGCAAATTTTATCTCTTCAGAGTATAGAGATTAAAACTGAACACTTTTGGGCTGGGGATTTAGCTCAGTGGTGCTGCTGCCTGCCTCCCAAGTGCAAGGTTCCAAGTTCAATCCCCAGTACCAAAACACAAAACAAAACAAAAAAAACCAAAAACCAAACCCAAACAACACTTTCTACCTACAGCAAACCACATCTGTCATATCTGAGCTGAACAGAACCAGAACTTACCTCTTACAAAGCAGTATTTGGTCTTACTACTCTCAAACTGCTGCACTCAAAATGGCAATAATCACAACATTTTGTGTTGTACAGGCATATGAAGTGTTTTATTTAGACCATTTCTAAGGATTCTGCTTCAAAGTTTTCATATGCAGCATTCAAGCATCTTAATGAAGACAGTCTAGTCTTTCAGAGATCATGTATCATCAAGGTCGGCAGAGTTCTCACTGTCATTTGCAACAAGGGCTTCTCTGTTCTCATAAGTCCAGAAGCCATTCAGATCAATTAGAATGGTAGTGACTGTGTCTCCTTGATTACTGTTGATTAAATCCTGGAGAGAAATTTTCAAAGGATCCTTTGGCTTTACCATGTCAAAGATTTCATCCTACAAGACAGAAAAAACAGCAATGAATTCCAACTCAATTCCTATCACACAGGGAAAATTTTTTTTCTTTTCTATTTAATAAGCAATCTCCTTTTATCTACTTACAACAAGAGTCTTACTGGGAGATTCCTTAGCTATATGATGACTATGCCTTACTTTACAGATGAAAAAAATGGAGCCTCAGTTTAATCCAAGTTACATAACTATTTAGTGGCTGAACTATCTAATGCAGTGTCCTCAGAATATATATTAACTCTGCATTTTCCTATTGTCTTCTAGTTGGTGGTGGAACACTTTCATTTTTTTTACCCCAGTCTTGGGGACCAAACCCAGGGGACTTGTGTGTGCTAGGCAAACAGTCTACTACTGAACTACATCTTGCCTTTGAGTTTAATTTTTTAAGTTAAAACTTAGCTCAGTTAAAGTAAAATTTTTAATGTTTCAGAGATAATGAGAAAACATTCCAATACTGAAATCAACTTTTTATTCTATATCTAGGAAGGGAAGGTGATAGGAGTTTAGTATTAACAAAATTAGTCATCCAGGATGATGCTAATTGTGCTTAAACTCAGTGAAATTCATAGAAGAATTTGTGTCTGTCTGTGTGTCTCTCCAGTGGTGTAAGGAACTGAACCCAGGCTTCTCACTGAGCTACACTGCTGGCTCTCCTTGCCTCAGCTTCTCTCAGTGCTGGGATTATAGTCATGTGCCACCAACCCTGGCAGAAACTTCTATGTTATGAAGTGTACAGTATAAATATTTCCAAGGAATTAGCTCACACTTCAAATCTTTTTGTAGTAAAATTACTCAAGAATGTTCATTAACATTTAAGGAGGCAAAATACATTTTTAAAAGATTAAAATAATTCAGGTACATAAAATGCAGAAACTTTTAATCTATGTTTGTTTTTCTAGATTGGGTATAGTTTCTAACTGCTTGTTAGTCTGTACACTGCAAAGTTTCAGACCTGCTTTATTTATATTAAACTAAAATAGCCCTTTATCAACTTGAACAAACAAATACTGTATGTAGTGGACATTTTCATAACTGATGAGACTGATTACTGAGTAGCAACATGTGTTTCAAATGGTGGTGGTTTTCATACTGCAGGATTGTTGCCTCCTTAAACCTAATACAATATACAATACAATACAACAATGCAAACAGGCTCTTTGAGGTACCCTACTAAAGTTCTTGAACCTAAGTATGTAGTTTCCAGATTAAAAACTCAGTTTTCTTTTTTGTTGTTGTTGTTTTTTTTTGAGACAGGGTCTCACTGTATAGTTGAGACTGACCTGGAACTCACTATGTAGCCCTGGTTGGTCTCGAACTCAGCGATCCTCCTGCCTCAGCCTCCTGAGTGCTGGGATTACAGGCGTGCGCCACCACGCCTGGCCAAAAACTCAGTTTTCAATGGAACACAGCATCAAGGAATGCAGGCTAAACTGAGTCTCTGTTTAAAATGAACGGATGCTTCCAGTGAAAACACAAGGGTGACAATGTTAAAATTATAAACTATATCAATTAACTCACAATGTGTCTCATTAAATATCAGTTCAGCAGAAATAATAGCGAATACTTGATTGGGAATAATACTTTATAGTTCGTATGTAACTTTCATGTATAATTTCATGTAATACAAATGATTATCTTGCATTATGATGACAACAGTATCTGGTTATTGTATATAAATTAAAGGAAAAGGTGACCTTAACATCTTGAAATGAAACAGGATCTTGTCCATGGATTTTCATTAGTTCCTGTATTGCCTGTATTTAGTGGAAATACATTTTTAAATAAAAAATGATATTAATAATATCCCCACCTCTTGTCCCACAACCCACTTCTAGTTCCATTTCTTTCCCATTATTAGACCACAGGTCTCATCCTCTCTACCTCTTCTGGCAACCTTAACTTCCTTAGCCTGTTCCATATCCAGTCAGCACAATACACTGGCCCAGTGTAACCACTGACCTCTGTATGATGAATGTTACCATTATGTATATCTAAAATGTACCAATAAAATAAACTGGAAAAAAAAAAAGAATAAAAAGCTTAAGTCTGTTTGATGACATGGATCTTTCGCAAAACAAACAAAAACCACTGACCTCTGTACATCTATACTTCAGCTATTGAAAACTTCAAAGGAAAGAAAAAGACCACAGTTTGCTGCTCTTACCCAGGAATGTTCTCTAAACTAGCAATTCTTCTATGGCCTGCTCCTTTTACTTTCTTTGAATGCTGTTCACACCTTCACCACTAAGACTCCCTTATCTGCCACCTCTCTTCCCATCTTAACACTTTACCCCTTCTACTCCTACTTAGAAAAACATGGGATTCTTTCAAACTTTTTTATAAACAACAACAAACAGTGAAGAAACTGTTACTCAGCTGGACTAAAATACTTCAGGTGAGCATCATTCCCTGAGAAATATAAAGCTTAAATTTCTTGGTAGTCAGCTAAGTATGCTCCAAATACCTGCTGTGCATGTGGTGCAGTAATATCCGTGTACCCTCAGGGAATCTCTCTGAAGGAGGAAGACCTGGGTACACTCTCAGTACAACAGCAGGCAGATGTTGTAGGGTACCATCCTGGCCCAGTTCCACTGTAAGGATCGATGCACAGTGGCTCTACAATCAGCTCAGGATTACAGGGCTCAGCACCTTTTACCTTAGCTCATAAAACCAACACTAAATAAACTTCGGTAAAGGAGATTTATGCATGAACTATTTTAAAATTATTTTTTAAACAAAATGTAACTTTCTAAGGGGAGAAGATACTCTAAAGAAATCTTTGTAAGAAAGGGTTGAATGTTTAAGTTCTAGAAGATTTGCTTTTCTCAGACTGAATTTTTGTTTCATAGGTTTGTCTAAAGTGGGGGCATCCCTGATTTGTTGGTGTTATCCTCTCAGATTAGCCATTGATATAATTTATAACATTCAATTTTAAGATTTTCTAATTTTCACTGTTGGGTATAGAACCCAAGCCCTTGCAGACGCTAGACAAGCTATCACTGAGCTACACTTCCAGCTCCACATTCAAGTTTTAAAAATGTATTCTAATTCAAGAATTGTACTTTATGCTTTTAAAATCTGCTGTTATTACCACCTATAAGGTTATAAGGAAAGTCATCTGGGAAATTTAATATGAAATTATAAAATATACACTATGAAATTCATTAGGATGAATTCAGAGACCAGTTTTTTAGAGTACCCAAACTTTTTTGAGACAGGTTCTCATGTAGTTCAAGCTGACCTTGAACTTGAAATTCTCCTGTCTCAGCCTCCTAGGTGCTGAAAGTACAGGCTAGCACACTCAATCAGGAGTACCCAAAACTTTAAAAATGGAAACAAAATTTCTGAGAGAAATGATCTGGATAAAGATGTGAAAGTGTCATTTGTATTGGTTTAAAAATTTTGAGCTGCAAATGCTTATGCATACCTGTCATTACAGCACTTGGGGGCTGAGGCAAAAGGATGGCAAGTTCTAGGCCAGCATGGACCACATGGCAAGAACCTGTCTCAAAAAACCAAAACCAAAACCCTCCTACTGATTTTCCCCCTATATAAATCACACGGTCTTCTAAAAACTAGCTATGAAAAATATAACATTACTCTACAAAATTATTCCACCAAGTGGAAAAGTTAACATTCAAATTAAGGAATCACGTGTGACAAGGGCAGAATTTCCTTCTTTTGCACTGTTGGAGCCAGATGTCTCTCAGATCCAGTCAGATTCCAGGTCAGAGCTCACCATTATTCTCTGAGACCCGCTGTGGCACAAAAGAAACACCTCAGCAAACTGCAAACTGCTTCCATGCAGCACTCTGCTGTAGCCAGCTTTATTTTTAACAGTGTAGCAACCAAAAAGAAAAATTTTTGTACCAACTAAAATCTGAAACTCCTCTGGAAGGCAGCCACCTTTTCTGAAAAGTAGTTTCCAAAAAAAAAAAAAACCCCAAATGGTATAACATAAGGAAAACAACAAATCAGACTTACCCTAAAGAAATAATTAAGGGAAAAGACATTCAGATACCCCTTGTTCTCAATATCAAGCAGTTTGAAGATATACTGCAAAGCTGCAGGTTCCTTTCTGTTTTCTAGTGCAAGAACAAAGTCCAAGTAGGTCTTATAGTCCTACAGAAAAGAAAATGATGTTCAACAGACCTTAATTGAAAATAACTTTTCAAGTGAGTACCCGATGATCTGAAGTGATTTCACAATCAAGGACGGCAAATTTTCAAGCCGAGTGTGGTGGTGCACACCTGTAATCCCAGCACTTGGGAGGCTGAGGCAGGAGGATCACTGTGAGTTCGAGACCAGCCTGGGCTGAATAGTGAGTTCCAGGTCCGTCTCAACTACATAGTGAGACCCTGTCTCAAAAAAACAAACAAACAACCCAACAAAACAAAACCAAAAAAAGGATGGCAAATTTTTTAATATGAAATGAGAAATCCATCTGTACATTTAATGTTGGTTTCTAGGAATTCTAATTAGGAGTGACTCTGCATAGGAGATTTTTGCAGATATAGCTCATTTTCTTCTTTTTTGGTACCGGGGATCGAACTCAGGTCCTTGCGCTTGCAAGGCAGGCCACCAAACCACTGAGCTAAATCCCTGGCTATAGCTCATTTTCTTAAGAGATTTCCTATGTTAAAGAATAACTTTTGGGCTGGGGATTTAGCTCACGGGCACCATGCCTACCTTGCAAGGTTAGGATCCTGAGTTTGATCCCTGGTACAAAAAAAAAAAAAAAAAAAAAAAAAAGTAAGTTTCTTCATTATACTTTAGAAATAGATAAGATAGGGGCCAGGGATTTAACTCATCGGTTCGGTGGCCTGCCTTGCAAGCGCAAGGACCCAAGTTCAATCCCCGATACTAAAAAAAAAAAAAAAAATGTACAAATGTGCATATGTATACTCATACAAAAAAGAAATAGATAAGATAGTACTATTGTACAATATCTTTAAATTTATATTTTCATTTCAATATGGTTATTCTGAAAATCTTTTATCTGCAATAGAATAATATTTAAATTGTATTGTGTAATTTGGCCAATCCATATCTATGGGTTCCACATTATTCAACTGTGGATTAAAAACACACGAGGAGGGATGGGGATTTAGCTCAATGGCACTGTGCCTGCCTCACAAGCGCAAGGTCCCAAGTTCGATCCCTGGTGCCCCCCCAAAAAACCAAAAACAAAAAACACGAGGAGCCTTTAATTCCAGATGATGCCCTTACTTCAGCCTCCGGAGTGCTGGCATTACAGGTATGCCCCACCGCACCTGGCACACAGTTGTTTTTGGTGGAGACAGAACCTGGGCCCCACACATACTAAGCAGGCGCTTAACCACTGAGCTGCACCCCAACCCTGCACTGGCCAGTTCTTAAGCCAAGAAATGTAGAGTCCTGGGGGAAAGGAGGAATGCGGAAGACAAACAGAACAACAACAAAAACTGTTTCCTTTTGTGATCTTCTGGGAGGGCTGAGATCTCTTTAGCATCCTTTACTATCACCTTACATCACTGGATCTCATTAGCCCCTGCATTTGCCTTTTTACAGCTTATTTTGTAATGCCTCCATAATTATCCTTAAAAGCCATAGCTTGATTAAAAAAAAAAAACATATATATATATATATATATACACACACACACACACATGTATATGTATACATGTATGTATGTATGGGGAAAAATTGCATCTGTACTGAACATGAATGGAGTGCTTTTCTTGTCATTACTCCTTAACCAACACAGTGTAACTACACAGAATTTACACTGTATTAAGTTAGGGATTCTGAGGAATCTAGAGGTGATTTAGTAAAGTTCACCAGAAGGAACCATGTGGGTTTTATGCAGATATAGCACCATTTCATATAAGGGACTTAAGAACACCTCCAGGTTTTGGTGTTGCTTGGGGGTCCTGGAACTTTTCTGTACTGTTTTAAGTTTTTTTTTAAATCAGATGATTTTCAGTAAGAAAATTCTTTGCATTAAAAAAAAAGCTAGACATGAAACGAGAGATTCTCACTCAGAAAAACTTGAAATTCTAGGGTTTGTGGGCACAGATTAAGAATGCCTCCCTGCCTGAACTGCATCAGAAAGAGTTAAACACAGCTTCATCCTGGTCTAGCTCCACCCACAGCTGTGGCCTCTGAATTTTTAATTCACCAGATGCCATCAGGATGCTACAAGCTTTTCATTGTCTGAAGCTCACAGCTGTGGGAGTCACAAATTCCAGTTTCTGTCTCTTTGCCTCTGCCTTTGGCCAACAATGATGTTATTCAGCACACTGCTATTGAAGCTAACTACATGACTATTGCTTAGGTATCACTGGTTTGGAAAATTCATGACATATTTATGCCTTATTTACTTATTTTGGTTTTTGAGATAAGAGTCGCACTATGTATCTCAGGCTGACCTTGAACTCACAGCAAACCTCTTGCCTCAGTCTTCCAAGTGCTGGGATTACAAGTGTGTGCCACCATGCCTGGCTACCATGTCTTTTTTTCCCCCGGTACCAGGACTAATCTCAGGACATGGCGCTTCTGAGTCAGGTGCATTGCCACTGAGGTAAATCCCTTGCCTTGTTTTTTTTAACAGCAAGAATGATAATTTCAAAACTTATTTAAAATTTTTAAGTATTTTGAGAACATAAAAGCAACATTTAATATCTACTTGCATACCTCCAACTATATAAATTTAAGCTAAATTATTTCTAAAAGTACACTATCAGATTCCCAAGGATTGTTTTGTTTTATTTTTTGTGACAGGGTCTTGTTATGTAGTTCAGGCTGGTTAAACTCACTGTGTAGCCCAGGATGGCCTCCACCTCACAGCAATGTTCCTGCCTCAGCCTCCTAAGCGTTGGGATTACATGTGTGTGCCACGACCTCTGGTATATTCCCACATATTACGAGAAGTAAACGGACAACTATAAGTTAGTTATCTTCAGCTAGTAGTATAGACAGAGTCATTCAACCTGGTTCTCAGATTTAAATCATTTCAATATGTTACTATGTCAGATTTGGTAATTTTTAATCATATGCAAATAAGCCAACAAAATTTACTAATTTCTCAGATTTTTCTAATTCACATCCTATATATGAGGTACACTAACAATGATACAAACATTAAAATTTTGTTTGCTCTGAGCTCATAATGGCAGTGTTTTTAAGTGAATTTACCCTCAGAACAAAGGCTCCAAATAAGATGTGATTTAATTGGTTCCTACTTTTTAATATACTGTGGCACACTGATAATAATGCTGAATTACATCAGAAAGGGTTGTGTGGAAATAGTAGGCGCCTGAATTTTAAAACTTTTCAGCAGAGTTAATGAAATACCATTTCTCCATCGTAAGTGAGACACTCTTGGAAAACACGGTCTAAGAAGACATTGGTCATAGTTGCTGTTCCGTAGCGGGAAAGCTCTTCTTTACTGAGCATGCCATTGTGATCTTTATCAAGATTCAAGTACTGGCCTTGGAAAGAAAGACAGTTAAAAGACAGTTATGGGCAAAACACCTTAAATTAAGAGGCAAAAATATTGGACATTAACAAAGAATTATTTTTATTCTTTAAGTTGCTTAATCATAGTAACATCAGCTATCCTTGAAATCTTGATTAGAAACACCATTAAGCTAGAACCAAAGGAAATCCATCTTGAAGGCTGTGGCCTTTGAGCTGTTTAATTTACATTTCTGTTTTGGATTTGCAAACTTTTTGGAACATCTAGGTAGAAGGGGACAACAAAAAGCAATGAAATGCCATTAACTTCAAAGTAGAGATCATGGATCCCAAAATGAGTCAAAAAACCACCAACAGGATATAAACATAGCAGACTAATGAAACTCAGTAAAAGGGCAAATTAATCCCTAAAACATCTCCCTCTGTCATCCCAAGAACAGCCTTTTATCACAAAGCAAGACCTCAGGTTCAAAAGTGTTCATAAAAGACCAAGTCAACAAGAAAAGATCAAATTACACCTGTCTGTTCTGAAAAGAAAGTGCAATAACTAAAAGTTCAAATATCAGTACTGAAATAAGTAAATTTAAGTAATCTAGAATCCTAGATCTTAAAGTCATAGAATATTTTGGTGGTGCTGGAGATTAAACCCAAGACCTTCACTGAGCTACATCACCAACTTGAGAATACTTTGGTCTTAAGGCAAAACAGCCTAGTATAAAATTACCCTCTGACCTGCACATGGTGGCATATGGCTATCATACCAGCTTTTTGGGAAGCTGAGGCAAGAGGATCACAAGTTTGAGTCTCCTAAGATAGTGAGACTCTATCTCAAATAATTAAAAAAAAGAGCTGGAGATGTAGCTTAGTGTGAAGGCCCTAGATTCAATCCCTAGTACCCCCACCAGATACAAACCATCACCAACAGAACTGCTCTGAACACTGATTAACTGAGGAATGGATAATTTAATTTAAACAGTATGATGGTAACATACCATAAACTCTTAAGGCAGAAGGAGCAGAAAACCAATTTGTTTCTTGACTCTCCTTGGACAATTCTTCATCTCTTAGCTAAAGGAACACAGACATTAAATAGAAGGTAGCAACTATCACATGATATAATTAAGTAGCTTAAAGATATATTTACCTCCAGTAAATCATCCAGGAAACTGCATGCTAAAATATCTTGAATTTTTATCTTCCCTTTAAAAAAGTAAACACAATTACTTCATTTCTTTTTAACAACAACTTGATCGTTTTTTTTGTTTTGTTTTGTTTTTCTGGTGCTGGGGATCAAACTTGGGACTTGAGCTAAATCCCCGGCCCTAAGAACAACTTAATCTTTAAAGGTATTATTTTATAAAATAAATCACACAGAAATATTTTAAACCTTCTAGCTTTCGTGCCCCAAGGTCCTTATTACCTATTGCTATGAAGACTCAATATTTAAGCTGAAGCAGGGGAATCATGTGCTTGAGCTTAGTCTGGGCAACTTAGCGAGACCATCTCTCAAAATAAAAGAGGCTGAGAACATAGCTCAGTGTGAAAGACCCTGGTTCAATCTCCAATCCCAAAAAAGAAAGAAAAAACAAAAAACAAAAAAGAAACAGTTAGAACTTTGCTTGTACAAGTGTATCTACTTTTTATACCCCCAATCATATAGACCTAAGAGGTAAATATTTTCTAAAATCACACTTCGGATTCCCATAAAAGTTGTGAATTTGGGGATTTAGCTCAGTGGCACTGCACCTGCCTGGCAAGTGCAAGGTCTTGAGTTTGATCCCCAGTACCAAAAATAAATATAAATAAATAAATAAATAAATGGAGACAATTCTCCATTTTTCTTTGCCAGGTTCTGAAATAGGTACAAGTATGGTTAGGAGCAGACAGACTGAAGTTTACTGCTGCTTCTACATAATGTTATCTAGCTAAGTCTCAAAGGCCTTATCCACAAAATGTGGATAACAATAACTTCTTTATTGGGTTATAAGAATGTGTAAAATTCTTAGCACAGTGTCATACATAATAAGCAGTCAAAATAGCTGTTATTATTTTGTAAAATTTGAAAGAGAAAAATTGTTTATGTACCTACAGTTAAGGAAGCTTGAAAAAGATTATCCAAATGTGGTCACACGTGCCTGTAAATTGTAGCACTTGGGAGGCTGAGGCAGGCCAGCCTGGCCTACATAGTAAGTTCAAGGTCAACCTGAACTTCCTTGTCTCAAAAAAAAAAACAAAAAAAAAAAAAAAAAAAAAAAAAAAAAAAACGAAAACAAAAACCATAAATAAAAAGTCATCAACTACAGCTGGATTTTCAAGAAAAGAAAGGGGACCAATTGATTTGACCCTTCTCTGTCCCAGTTACATGGATTTAAGTCTGGGCAGATTAAAACCATTGGATACTGTTAGTAAGACTAGCGTCAAAGTGTTAATGGGAGAAAGAAATATATATCATGGCTAAATGGCTCTCATATTAAGTATGTAGTTTCATTAAAAAGAAAATGATTCTCCAGTATGTCACACATCAAGGACAGATAATTAGATCACAGTAGCTGATTTCTTAAAATTGGAAGGAGCAATACTAAATTACCCAATTTGTACTTCAGTTTTAGGGATGAAGAACTGTTAAGAAAGTAGGTGACATTCCCACTGTCACACAGATACATAGTCCATGCAAGTAAATCATGAAATATCTTTATATAAACCTAAACCCTGTTGCTTTTTTGTATTTTTCTACTCCTTTGGGATTTGCTAGATTAATGGCAATGACATAATAGGAAAATAAGTGACATTTTAAGGCCTCCCTAGTTACTGAGGTTTAGATGTAGTGATACCTCGTAACATCTAAAGTTTTTTTTGTTTTGCTTTTGGTTTTTTGAAACAGGGTCTCATTTCAGTTCAGGTTGGCCCTGACCTCACTATTTAGCCCAGGCTAGCCTTGAACTTGTAGTGATCCTCTTGCCTCAGTCTCCCGAGTGCCGGGATTGCAGGTGTATGCCCAGCAACATCTAAATTAAATAAGATTTTCTTTTACCTGTTCTTAGAGGGTCCAAAAAGAAGAAGAACTTCCTAACTGCTGTACAAACATAAAAGGAGTAAAAAGATTTTTCCAGCCCATCTAATTGTGGCAAAGTAGGGATAAGTTCCAATATGTAGTTTTCCAAATCCTGGAAACAAAACAAAACTTGAAGTGTTAAATGACTTGCTTCTTCATTAGACACTGTAACTTCAGTCCTAAAATTCAGATTAATACCATACTGATAATGTAAATTCCATGACTAGGTCAGCAGTGAAAACTTTATATTGTTTCTAATTTATTATTTAAACACTAATACATTTTAACATATATATTCCACATAGTTCTAAACTCATAGGAACAAAAAGACACTCATTAAAAAGTCTCCTCTCACCTATTTTCTTTCCCCAGAGGTAACCAATTTGATTGACTTTTTTATTTCAAAAGATGGGGCCTTGCTGTGTTTCTCATGCTGGCCTTTAATCCAAGTATAAGAGAACCTCCTCCCTCCCTCAGCCTCCTGAGTAGCTGGAAGTACACATGCGTACCACCTTACCCAATTAGATATTATTAATTTCTTTTTTTTTCTTTGACATTTTTGTTTTTGTGGTACCGAGGATTGAACACTTGCGAGGCAGGGTGCAGAACCACTGAGCCAAATCCCTGGCATAGATATTATTAATTTCTGATGCAGTTTTCCAAAGATATCTAATCCAAATACAAGCCAGTACATATCCACATGTATTTCTCTTTTTACACAGGATGAAGCAGTATGCTATGAAAATTGCTTTTGTCATTTAACAATACACTTACAGTCATTTAATACTGGCTGTCAAAATGCTACAGTTTTAAACAAATGTTGCTTCACTGGTTAGATGTACCCTAATTTACTCAACTAGGTCTCTTTTTTTTTGTCTTGGTACCAGGGATCGAACGTGGGTCCTTGTGCTTGTGAGGCAGGCACCAGAACCACTGAGCTAAATCCCAGGCCCTAAACTAGGTCTCTTCTGATGGATGCTTAAGTTGTTTATCTTTTATTTATTTAGTTAGTTTTTAGCACTGGGGCTTTAACTCAAGGTTTTCAAGCTAAACTACATGCCCTACCCTTTGTTTTGAAACAGGGCCTTGCTAAATCACTAAGTTGCCTGCTGGGCTTGAATTTGCAATTCTCCTGCCTCAGCTTCCCAAAGTGCTAGGTCACAGAGGTATCACACTGTGCCTAGCATAAAACTAGGTTTTTTATGGTTCCTGTGATAAAGCAAGTATCACCCAAAAATCAGTGGATAGGAAATGAGGATTACCGTGTGCAATCTAATTCCCCAGGTTAGGTACTTGTGCAATGCCCCATCACACACACATCCCATTAGTAATTGTTATTTAAGAATGAAGCAGCTGGGCACGGTGGCACACACCTGTTATCCCAGCACTCAGGAGGCTGAGGCAGGAGGACTGCCATGAGTTCAAGGCCAGCCTGGGCTCTGTAGTGAGTTCAAGGCTAGTCTGGACTGCATAGTGAGACCCTGTCTCAAAAAAAAAAAGAAAAAAGAATGAAGCAAGCTAGGCATGGTGGTTGTTATGCCACATATCTGGATGTCTCCCCAAAGCCTCATGTGCTCACAGGTGGGGCTTTCAGAGGTGGCTGGTTTTAGGGTGTGTGATCCTGGGATTAAGCTGCATGATGCTGGGTTTAAATTGTGCGATGATGGGATTAAGAATGCATACTTGGGCCAGGGATTTAGCTCAGTGCCACCACGCCTGCCTCGTAACAGCAAGGTCTTGAGTTTGATCACTGGTACCAAACAAACAAAAAGTGTGTACTTACTAAATTAGTCCACTGATTCGTTAAGCTTAAGCATAGTTTTGGGTGTGGAAGATGGGAAGGCCCACCCTGGGTGTGGGTGGCACCACCTAAAAGGTGAATATCCTAGAAGGGACAAAAGGGAGAGGTGTCTACTTCACTGTGACTCCTATCTCCTGCTTATTCACCATGAACTATTCTCCTCTGCGATGCCCTGCTATGCCGCCCTACCTTGAAGCCAGCCAACTACGAACTGAAATTGCTACAGACTATGAGCTACAATAAACCTTTCCTCCTTTAATTTTGGGTATCTTGGATTTTGTCTCAGCAACAAGAAAAGTAACTAAGACAGTGGTGTATGCCTGTCCTTCCAGCATGGGATGAAGCTGGAGGATTGCAAGTTTGAGGTCAGCAGGGACTACACAGTGAGACTACTTAAAAAAAAATAAGTAAAAATATTATTTTCTTTCAATTTATCTGTATTTTATAAGGATAATAACCTTAATGAATACTTTCATTAAATTTTTTTATAACTGATTCATAAATGGCCCATAGGGGCTGTGAAAGAATTACTGAGACATGAAAGAGTTTCATTAAAAGTGGTATCAAACCTTTTGGTCTCTGTTTACCTGGGAAGTGACAAATGAAATTGTAGATTTACCTGAGACTTCTCTCATGTGAATTTAAAGCTTTTTCTTGAGATTAAGAAGCATTTGTATTTTACTTTCTGTCCACTATATCCTTTGCCCAGTTTTCTACTGGCTTAATGGCCATTTTTTGATATCTAAGAGCCTTACATATTCTAAAAATTGGTTGAATTTCAGGTATCGGTCCCAATTTACTCTTTTTAAATTTTGTTTGTGACAGTCTTTGCCCTATATTATTATTATTTTTAATTTGGCTGAATTTGGCTAGCCATGGTGGTGCATGCCTATAATCCCAGCACTCAGGAAGCTAAGGCAGGAGGATCACCTCAAGTTCAAGGTCAGCCTGGAAAACATAGCCTAGACCCTATCTCAAAAAAAAAAAAAAAAAAAAAAAAATAAAATTTTTAAAAAAGTAGTTAATTTATTAACTGGTTTTTAGATTTCACAAGTTTATACATTTAAAAGTGTTTCATAATTTTTTATATTTATTTTAACAGCTGTATTATTTTTTTATTTTTCTCCTGTACCAGGAACACAACTTGGGACCTTGCACTTACCAGGCAGGCATGGTGCTACTGAGCTACATCCCTGGTCCTTTAACAGTTTTATTTTTAAAAGAATTTTATTTTTTAATCTAACCATTTAAAATATTTTGGAAGATCTGGTACACTTTATAATTTGAGGTTATAGAACAATAGGCATCTCAAACTCATACAAATGGCACTGACTCTCAAGACACACATGGTGGCACAAATATGTACTCCCAGCACTCAGGAGGGTAAGACAGGAGGATGGCCAACCCAGACTACATCATCAGACCTTGTCTCAAAAAAAAAAAAAAAAAAAAAAAAAGAGAGGTTTCATTTGACCCAGCCATCCCTCTGCTGGGTATCTTTCCACAAGAAGTAAAAGAAGCATACCACAGTGATATATGTGCACCCATGTTTATAGCAGCACAGTTTGTAATAGCTAAAACCTGAAAACAGCCCAACTGCCCATCAGTTGGAGACTGGATAAAGATGTGGTTTTTCTATAAAATGGAGTACTACTCAGCCATAAAAAAATGAGAAACTAGAGTTATTCAAAGGAAAATGGATGCATATTGAGGCCATACCCTTAAGTGAAATAAATAAGACACACATGTATAAATAATGAATAGTTTCTCTGGTGTGAAAAATTAAAAGTGTAAATTCTAAATTGTGTAACTGACAATGTGAAATAGGAAGAAAAGGGCTAAAGGTGTAGGGGAAGTGGGAAGGGTAGAGGAAAGGAAATAAGGGAAAAGAAAAAATATGAGAAAACAAAAAAATGGAAACAAAGTTGTTGTAAATAGGGAAGGAGGGGGTGAAGGGAGGGCAGAGGTATGAGGAAAAAATGAGAACCAAGACCTGTCATGTAAAGGTACAAGATCCGAATGATAAATGTAACTGTACGGCATACTTTAAAAGTACCAATAAACTCGATGAAAGGAAAAAAAGGGGGGGGGACTTTGTTCTGGGCCTCAGTCTTTGTTCTCACCTAGTTTTCCTTTATTTTGGCAGTTAAAACTCATACCTGGTCCCTCCCATTCTTTCACCATTCCTTACCTCCAGCTTTTAATCTAGCAGCTTGAGGAGGAAGATGTCTAAAATATGAAGTGAGTTAATCTATTTCTAGCTTCCTCTGGTCACCAGTCACCCTGGTCAGGACCTCTAGCATCTCATTTGGGATGTCTTAATATTCCAGCTTCCGGTCTAGCCCGAACTCCTCCACACAGCATCCCGGGTAATCTTTAAAAATGTAAATTGTGTCCTGACAGACTCAGCTTAAACATTTCAATGGCTTCCTAAAACAACCTTCCAATAAAACCCAACTTCTTACCATAGTCTAAAAGGCTCTACATGTGGTCTACTTCTCTTGACTTTATCTCTTGTCACTTTAACCCTTCATCATGTGCTCTAGTATCCTAGATTCCTTCTGTCTGTAGAAAGGGGGAGTAAAAAGAACTGAGATGCATTATGTACATGCACCAACTCCCCATGATGAATGTAATCATTATGCACTGCAAACACGTACTAATAAACATTTTAAAGAAAAGATCATATTTAATTTTGTCTTGAGGACACTACATCTGCTGTACTTCCTTCTATATTACATCTTCATTAAGCTGGCTTTTTTCTCATTCTTCATGTTTAAAACTTAAATCACTATCTCAAAGAAATATCCATTACATCCATCTAAAACAACTTCAGTCATACATCATAATGTGCCTAGCACCCTATTTTATTATCTTCATGACTTGTCATACTTAAAATTTTACTTATAATTTAGTGTCCATTAACCCACTCTGCTAAGAAAAAAGCTCCACAGGTTAAGGCTCACAATAGTTCCTGACACAAAACGTTTACTAGATATTTATTTAATAAGTATAAATGAAAGTTTTACAAACATGACTCAAATTATAATTGTTAGTCTCTAAGTCACTTTTTTCAAATTGGTAAGAGTATCTAGTTTCAAGGAGCAAAGTGTCAGTATTTGGAGAACTACCTTACCTTGAGAAAAGCATTTCCTTTCACTAAGAGAATGAAAAATTATAGTTTTAAAAACATCTATGGAACTGGAGAAGTAGCTCAATGGTAAAGTGCTTTCCTTGCATCTGCAAGGCTCTAGGTTGGAATCCCAGTAATGCTAAATAAATAAGTAATAAAACTATGAGTTTGATATAATCCAGTCTGAATCCCAGTGCTCAAGCAGGCTAAGGCAGGAAGATCACAAGTTTGAGGCCAGCCGTGCAACTTAGATCCAGTCTCCAAATAAAACAATTTTTTTTCGGTATTGGGGATTGAACTTTGGTCCTTAAATTTGTGAGGCAGGCAGCAGAACCACTGAGCTACATCCCCAGCCCCAAATAAAACTTAAAAAGGGCTGGACATGTAGCTCAGTGGAGGAGTACTAGACAAATAAGTGCAAAGTTATCTGTTCAATCTCTAGCACTGAAGAAAGAAAACCAAAATCCTCTGTGTTAGGAAGTAGTCCAATACCTGATCTAATAAGTATCAACGGGTAGTTAATCACATCTTCCTTGTGGACATTTTATTGTTAAGGTGGTCTACACCTTACAGAACAAGAATTATACTGAAAGGTTTAATGCTGTAATGTTCAGAATATGCCAACAGAGACTATCTGCAGAAATCTGGGCTAAGCAAACTGCAAGGAAATTATAACAAGAACCATAATGAACTGTAATGAAGAATTGACATTTAAGTCTGTGTTTAAATAATTGCTTGATGAAACTAGTTCATATTTATACTCAACCACCTTCCCCTTTCCCCTACAACCTTAGATTCCACACTTGGGAAAAATGCCTGAGATGAAAAGAAGCGTGTCTACATAAGATACCCACACTCATCAGAAGCACAGCCATTTGGATCATAAGACTATAATTCTGTTGCTATCTTGGCCTTATCTACATTAGTACCTAATATGAAATAAAGATTTCTTTATAACTGACCTTACATCCATAAATCTATAGGTGGAAACAGAGTTAATTTCTCTTACAGTTCCTAAAAAAGGGAAAGTCCTTGGCCCTTAAAACAGTCACACATTGATACCATTCAAGAATAATGAAAGGTTTTCACTGTTTCTTCAATAATTTTTTAGTCCTGTTAAAACATGACATTCTTTTCATTTTCCCCTTTAAAAGGCCCTTTAAAAAATGTCTGAAGGAATTTATACAGTCAACATACATTAAATTTTTTTAGTAACATGTTTGTAAAATAAAATCGAGCACAGTAGCACATGCCTATAATCCCAGCAACTAAGGAGGATGAGGCAGGAGGAACACAAGTTTGAGGCCAGCTTGAGCAACTTAGCAAGACTCTGTCTCAAAATAAAAATGGATCTGGAGTTTAAGCTCAATTGGCAGAGTGCCCCTGGGTTTAATCACTAGTATAAACACACAAAAAGACATAGGGTTGGGGATTTAGCTCAGTGTTTCTGGCGCCTGCTTCGAAAGTACAAGGATCCGAGTTTGATCCCTGGTACCAAAAAAACAAAAAACAAAAACAAACACAAGAGGACAAAAAAAAAAAAAAAAAAAAAAAAAAAAAAAAAGAAGAAGAAAAGGAAAACATCCATGAAAACAGAGGCTCAAAACCAAGAATCACCTGCAATCATAACACCTAAGATAACTGTTAACATTTTGGTGTGTGTAACCATTATTAAAAAGATTAATACTTACAGATTCCCGAAGGTATCCTTGTCCAGCAACATCATATAAACTAAGTCCTATTCTGGTTTGATGAAGCCAAACTGATAATGAAAAAGTAAATGAAATTTAATTCTTAAGATTTATCTTTTAGGACATGTTTATAAAAAGGAGAGGTAAAAAGCTAATTAGAGGTACAAACCAATCCAGTAACTCTATAAAACTATTTTTTGTCACACACATTAAATAATCATTAACCCCCAAATAGCCTAAAACAAAATAAACCATAAAATGGTATATTTCAACAGTTCTACTACAATTAGTTACAATAACCCCAATACCCTTGAGGATATTGTTCTTTACCCATTATAATTGGAGTTCCACAAAAGAAGTACAGCTATTACAGTGTTAGGTCTTCAGTGGAGCTTGTTTTAATCCGCTGAGGTTAATTACTGCAGCCAACTACATCAGTCAAAGATGCTACACAGCAGTATTTTACAGATCATTATGGTACTGAGAGGAATCCTAGCAACTCTATATACAGGGTCCTTGAAACCAATATAGTTTTGAGTTTGCAATTATCCTTTTAAGCAACTCAAACTATAATACATTAGTGAAATAAAATCACTACTAAATGAAAATTATTTCAAATCATGATATGTTAAAACTCTTGGTCCAGCTGGGTATGATGGCACAATCCTGTAATTTCTTCAGGGGGCTGAGACAGGACTGCAAGTTCAAGGCCAACCTGGGAAAATTAGAAAAACCTTATCTCCCAAAAAAGAAAAGGTGCCAAGGCCTCAGGTTCAATCATCATTATTCCAAAACAAACAAAAACAAACATACATACAAACAATCTACCAGCTTCTGCTGTTTCTGGCCAGCTAGTATCTTTAGGATACACAAGACTGTTTTTTTGGTTTATGATAATGAAGCCAAATTTAAGGCAGAAAATCACAGCTTTGGGATTCTCCTTTAGAGAATCTTAATAAAAACATAATACATTTAGGTCAAAACACAAGAAATTTATTCAGACTTAAATTTGAGAGTGGAACAAATACTATTAAAATCAAAACACCAAAAATCGACTTGATTCCTAGACCGGAGTTCAAGCATAATAAAAATAAATCACCTTTTCGCATGACATAGTTAAAGAACTGCATGATGGAAATTCTTCCATAGGAGTCTGTATGAAGGAGTTTAGCAAAGACTTTTGCAGTGAAAAATTGCCTAAAAAAGAAAATAAAGAAAGTAATCTGCCAATATAAAAATGGATTAGCAAACAGTATAATTCATCCAACTGAAAATGAAAGTGAAAAAATTAAGAGAATGATAGACTAGTAGTTAAAAAATTAAAATATTAAGTCAAAACATCTTTGCAATCATTCTGTTACATTCCCAACTTAAGTGAAGGCCTAAAGTGTCATATTATTTCTTTTAATAACTTCATACAAATATAATTATTTTTCTATAATTTAATCAGATTTCATTAATAAATTGACTCAAATGTCACACCATTGTCTTCAATTTTCATTAATATTTTAGGCATTTAAATCAATTAACATAACATATTGCTTTGTTAATTGTACTATTCTTACTTGCACTTTGGTCCAGCCTTTTCACCAACTTTCAGAAAATTTTCATAATTGATCATTGCTTCCTCTCCAATCATAGGTGGTGTCTGGTGTTTGTCCAGCAAAAACCATAAGTTCTTACAAAAATTATAGAAATGAAGATGTTATAATTTAAAAATTTTTAAAACATAGCCAAATGCATCATTTCCATTAAAATGGGTTGACACACTGTGATAGTGAATCTCATACTCTACTATCCTTTTAATTACTATTAAGGAGAACAGCTTAGTAGGCAGAGTGCCTACTAAGTTTTTTAATTTTTGTTGTTTTTCCAGTACCAGGGATTGAACTCAGGACTTTGTGCTTGTGAGGCAGGTGCGGCACCACTGAGCTTACTTTCTGGCCCCTATGCCTTCTAAATTTCAAACATATCCTCTCTTTAATCCCATACCTACATAATGCAGGTAGTTATCCCCACTTTACAGATGAGAAGTAGAGCATAGAGATATCATGTCCATTGCGTAATGTGCCTAAACTGGAAACTGCAACCTGACTGGATAACAGTAGTTTTCAACCTGCGCTGCATGTTAGAAGCTTCTAGGAACTTAAACAAAAACAAACCTAACACCACCATGTATGGTGGCCCAAGTGAGCTTAGCAGCCGATGTGTGGGCACCAATGCCACAGAGCCTCTGCAGTACCAGTGTGTGTGGGCCTATCAGGCACCATGAGATCGTGTGTGACTTAAGTAGTACAAGTAGGAATGGTTAACATCTAACCTGCTCTTACCTGTAATTCTTCATTATCTAAGAGTTCTCTGCTTTTCCTTTGTAAAAAGACAGCTCTGGATTCCTCTCTTAATTTCTGCAGTAAGACTTCATCTTCAGCTGGCAACTAAAAATATATTGTCAATTTCTACATGTAAATTTTACATTAATGAATCATGTAAAATATGTGACCTCATGAAATAACATGGTTGCTACCTCAATTTATTTGTTTCTCATCTTAATTTTAAATTCACTTAACAAGAAGTTCATAAAGAAGTCAGTGAACAGCAATGCCAGATCTCTGTTCTGAAAAAGCTAACAGTTTAACCCACTTAACTTCCCTTGTGGTTTTAGATCATACCACATTACATCAGTAGTGTGACAGTCAGCCAGGCATGGTGGGGCTCCCCTGTAATCCTGGCAATGTGGAAGCCTAAGACTAGAGGATGCCAAGTTCAAGCCCAGCCTGGGCAACTTAGTGAGACCCTGTCTCAAAATAGGCTGGTATGCAGCTCAGTGTGAAGGCTCTGGGTTCAATCCCTAAGAATGGTGTTACAGTGTTTACTATTTTTAATGTTTTAATTAACTGAATTTTTTAAAATTACATGTTCAGGAGACATTCAGCTGAGACTCCAAAGTTAACTTTTCTCCAGGAGTTACATTTTATATGACATTACATAGGTCTCATTCTTTTAGTAAACTTTATTTTCCATTGTAAACAGCTTTCTTAAGGTCTTACTGTCTATATTGCCCTTCAAAGGCTTGCCATTTTGTCACACGGAAATATACAACTGAAACTCTGTTTTCTATTTTTGATCTATTTTTCAGTTTAGTCTTGAACGAAATCATTATACCTTTTAACAAAGTGCTGTACATCCCAACATAACTCTAGAGAATACTTACTACTAATATAATAAAAATTAGAAAAGCTCATAGTTCAAAGGGGCAAGTAACAACTTTTGTTTTCATATATTATACCCAAACTCAAATTTTTAGTAGGTTCAAATATAAGATCAGCTAAAGTAAAAGAATATACAAAATTTAAAGTTTAAACGTCTATTTTTAAAAATTAAAATTCTGATCCCAGTTTTAAAATTACATTTTACTTACAGACTCTGAGAGACAGCTGCTTAGTTATCACTTACCCTATAATAAAACCGGGGAATCATCTTATAGAATTCATTTATGTTTTTTCTACCTCCTTTCCATTCTGAGTAGTATTTGGTAAATAAATCCATTTCTTCATCTTTTAATTCTTGTTCACTTTTTTTTCCTAGTAGCAAAACGAATAAAGGGAGAAAGCCCTTTTAAAAATCAAGTAATGCTGTTACAAAGCTCATCCCATATATAAAATTCTAAAATAGTTGAGGTACAAAGAGGCCATCAATATTGTACACAGTTTTTTTTAATATACCCAGGAAGGGTTAACTGGGTTGAATGGCATTTCTTACTTTTAGTTTGAGGATTCTCCATACTGACTTTCACAGTGGTTGTACTAGTTTACATTCTCATCAACCACATAAGAGAGCTCCTTTCTGCCAACACTCACCAGCACTGTCTTCAGATTCCTGATGATAGTCATTCTCACTGGGGTAAGAGGGAATCTCAGTGTCACAGTTTTTATTTGTTTTTGTAGTAGTAGGGATTGAACCCAGAGCCTTTTCATTGAACTCCACCCCCGGGGACCTTTCCTTATTTTTAAATTTGGAGACAGGGTTTCACTATGTTGCTAAGCAGCTCAGACTGGGCTTGAACTTTAGATCCTCCTGTCTCAGCCTCCCAAAGTGCTGGAATTACAGATGTATACTACACCTGGCTTCAATGTAGTTTTTTTGTTTTTTTTTTTTTTGTGTCCCAGTGATTAAACTCAGGACCCTATGCTTGCAAGGCAGGTGGCAGTACCACTGAGCTAAATCCCCAGCCCAATGTAGTTCTGATTTGCCTAATGGTTAAAGAAGTTGTACATTTTTTCTTCTCTTTTTTTTTGAGGCAGCGTCTCACTATGTAGTTGAGACTGACCTGGAACTCACTATGTAGTCCAGGCTCGTCTCGAACCCACAGTGATCCTCCTGCCTCAGCCTCCAGAGTGCTGGGATTATAGGCGTGCACCACCACGCCCGGCCGAGAAGCTGTACATTTTTTCATGTATTCATTGGCTGTCTGCACCACTTCTTTTAAGAAGTGTCGGTACATGATCCCAACAATGAATGTAACTGTATTGTATCCCTAAATGTACCAATAAACTCAATTCGAACCCACAGTGATCCTCCTGCCTCAGCCTCCAGAGTGCTGGGATTATAGGCGTGCACCACCACGCCCGGCCGAGAAGCTGTACATTTTTTCATGTATTCATTGGCTGTCTGCACCACTTCTTTTAAGAAGTGTCGGTACATGATCCCAACAATGAATGTAACTGTATTGTATCCCTAAATGTACCAATAAACTCAATATAAATAAAAAATAAAAAAAAAATAAAAAAAAAAAAAGAAGTGTCTATTCAGTTTATTGGCCCATTTTATTTTGCTTTTTGAGGTTTTTGGGGTTTTTTTTTTTTTTTTTGGTACTGTCCCTTTCCTTCCTTACCCTCTTTTTTTCTGTCTCCTTTCTCCTTTTCTTCTCTTTGTTTTTTTCTCTTTCTTTCTTTGCGTCCCTTCTCATTCCTTCTCTTTCTTTCTTTCTTTGTTTCTTGCTTGCTGGCTTGATTGTTGCCTGCCTGCTTGCCTTCTCTCTCTCTCTCTCTCTCTCTCTCTCTCTCTCTCTCTCTTTTTTTTTTTTTTATTTTTTTATATATATTAAAATATACAGACAATAAAAACTTTAAATATATAGATATTAATCTTCTATCAGAAGGAAACAGTCTAGATGCCCATCAACAGACAAATGAGCAATGTGGGGTATGTGTATGTATACAACAAAATATTGTTCAGCCATAAAGGATGAAATCCTGCCATTTGCAGAAAAAAGTACAGAACTTGACACACCACCCTGTTATGCTGAATAAGCTGGTCTCAGAAAGTTAAATATCACTCCTATGTAAAAAACCTAAAATTCAAGCAAATAAATGAAAGTAATGCAGAAATGACAGGCAACTAGAAGGTAGCTTCTCGAATATGGGGAAGGGAGTTAGGGAGAGAAGGGAGGAACATATTAACTTTCTTGAAACACCAGGCACTACCGGCCACTGAAACAGCCTCCCCCACTTCTTCATAGACCCTGGGGCCAGAGGGGAGAGAAAAACAGCCCGACCCTTCACCTCATGAAGTTTCAGCCTCCTAATCACTGCTTCTCTACCTAAAGCAAAAAACCTGACCATCTGAAGCTCAAAATTCAAGGATCTATTACCCTCTAGCCTGCCTGCTACTGGCACAAACTCATTCAGCCACTCTCCCTTCTGTGGATAACTACGATCCCTCAGGCTGAAGCTTTCCCTCTACTCCATTCGGTCAAATGACAAACTTCCGCAAGTGAAACAAAGACAACTTGACACGGAATTTAACAATGTGGAGGCCACTAGTGATTCTCAACAAGCAGGAACTGGAGACAGATTCAGATTTAACCAACAACTCTTTTAATAAGTTGTTGCTCAAGGGAAATTAAAAAAAGGGCATAGCTAGAGACAGGAAATTAAGTTATGAAAGTTTAAGGTGGGAGAAACAGCAGCATGTTTATATGTGAACAGTAATAATTAAGAAAAAGTAATGATGCAGGAGAAAGGATGACAGAGAGATTATACCCTTGAGTAGGCAAAAAGGGATCTAGTACAAAGGATGGGATCCAGAGTACTAAAGAAAATAGCCCTAGCCAAGTGTGCTGGTGCGTGCCTGTGAGATCGGCTACTAGGGAGGCAGAGGCCAGAGGATCTAAATTCAAGGCCAGCCCACCCAATTTATCCACCTTTGTCTCAAAAGATAAAAAGGGCTTGGGCCAGGGATGTAGCTCAGTGGTGCTGCACCTGCCTGGCAAGCATAAGGTCCTGAGTTCATTTCCCAGTACCAAAACAAAACAAAACAAAAAAGGGCTCCTGCTGGGGATGTAGCTCAATGGTGGAACATTACTGGGTTCAATCACCAGGACAAACAAAACAAAACAGAAAAAAGCCCGTCTTCAACAGGAGTTATGACCTGTAAAACCCAAATGGTGGTGGTGAATCTGTAACATGCATGCCCGTGGGCTGTAAAAGGTTTGGTATCACTGACCTAGATCATTTATTTATATCATCTCTCCCCACACTAAATTCCTATTCTACAGGAATAGGGATTTTTGTCTGTTTTGATTACTGCCATAGCCTAGAACAGAATGTGGCATATGACATACATAGAATAAATATCCATTAAAGACTGGCATGGGCTGTAAGACAATATGGGGAGGAGAATGCACAAATACAGGTAACACCTTTGACAAATATTCCTGTTTTGTTTTTTGAGACAGGATCATGCTGTGTAGTTCAGGCTGGCCTGGAACTTACTATGTGCCCCAGGCTAGTCTCAGTCACAGCTTTCCTCCTGCCTCAGCCTCTTGAATTCTGGGATGACAGATGTGTGTCAACATATCCGCCCAGTATTTTTTTTTTTCCCTCCTTTGGTGCTGAGGATACTGCTCTACCGCTACCTACACCTCCAGGGTACAGAGAAATGTAGCAGAGGGTGGAGGTAAGAGTATGCAGTATCAAATGACTATTTTCTTAAAAGACAGAGAAAATGCCAGCATGTTCATCAGTGCTGATGGAAATGTCCATAGGAAAAAAAAAGTTGATAATGTATGAGAGAGAGGATAAGGGTGGAGAAAAGTTATTGCCTATAAGAAATGGTGTTCAGAACTGAGGGTTAGCTCAGTCTTGGAGCACTTGTACAGGCCTTGGGTCTGCAAGGACCTGGGTTTGGATCCCTAGCAGCACTCCTCTTACCCCTACAAAGGAACATAATCTAGTACTGGAGTGGAGAGTCTTTCAAATAAGTACCTGGTTTTTTTGTTTTGTTTTGTTTTTTTCTTTTTTGGTACTGGGGATCGAACTCCAGACCTTGTGCCTACAAGTCAGGAGGATTGCCACTGAGCTAAATCCCTGGCCAAGTACAAGTATTTTATTTTTATTTTTTTGGTTTTTTTGAGAAGGGTCTCCCTGTGTAGTTGAGACTGACCTGGAACTCACTATGTAGCCCAGGCTGGTTCAAACTCATAGTGATACTCCTGCCTCAGCCTCCAAGTGCTGTGATTACAGGTGAGTGTCACTATGCCCTGCAAGTACATGTATTTTAGACAGCTAAATTAGGTAAAAATTCTAGGTAGTCAGACAGGGCTAGGGCCTCAGTGCACAGGATGAAAACACATTACAGCTGTGTTAAGAGGTGCATCTGTTGAAAGCCAGGCCTCAAGAGAATGACCAGGCCTATATAACTTGAGGGATAAGCAATATACTATAATTGGTATAACCTGATCTGATAGTGTTTAGAAAGACATCAGTCACCCAGGTGGATGACCAAGACCTCCTGGATTCATCTCTTCCTGAAGAGGTCCATGTTCTTTCCATATACCTTTACTACGTGACTTGCTTCCCCATTAAGAGGCTATACTTTTTTTTTTTTTTTTTTTTCCCAGTACAGGGATCAAACTCAGGTCCTTGACTACAAGGCAGGTGCCATGCCACTGAGCTAATCCCCCACCCATGTGGCTATACTTCTAATCTTATTTGTTGATCATAGTTTTGACACAGATTATACCCACTTGTGGTTTTGTACCCACCTCATAATTTTGCTCTATAAAACTTCCTCTGAGAAGTGGGGTCCATGGCAACCCACTTTCAGGCCCCTTCCTGCCTCGTTCTCCTCTCTCAATAGTTCCTACTCTAAACTTCTATCGTTCCTTAGAACTCATTCTTTGATTCTGGGGAACAAGAACTCGGTGTATCTGACATCTAGCAGGTTGGGTGTTACATTTATTCCCTCTATATCACAGGGATGGTTCATTTAACAGTAAGCAGGATGCATGGCACTTACAGCAGGTAAGTGATAGAAATGGTAAACGAAAACAAGAAAGGTTCTCCTTTGTATCTACTTTGTCAGTGAGGTAACATTAAAGAAGAGTTCCTCATCTGAAGGTATGGAGTAAGTAGGATGCGTCTGGGAGATGAAAGGAGTTTAATGCAGGAGAGAGAGGACAGGGAAACATTGCACCCACTTTACGTTAGTGGGCATGGATTAAAGAGAGAAAACTTACCATAGTCCTGTTTTGCTCCATACAATTTCAGCTGCCCTAAATAAAAGTGTGGAATAGGAAAGATTTAAACAGTGTAATACGCCAAGTGTAAAGAGAAAGTGACACGGAAAAATAGATTTGTAATCTAAAGTGGCTAAGGAGGGAAGTGAAAACCCCGTCAGTACAAAGGCGTAAGGAAAATGAATCACAGGTCCTGGTGGGATAGATGAGTTTTTAGAGCCAGAGTTCTGTTATTCCTCACAAGTCCAAAAGAAGACCGTGGAAGTCAGTTTTTCGCTCTTGGAGATTATTTCCCAGGAAAGTTTGGGTCAAACGTCCAGATTCTCTAAGGCACGTTCTCCGGCTCCTTTGTCAGTACAGGCTCTACCAAGCGAAAGTAGGGTCCCCACTTGCTCCTCCTCCCCGCCCTCCCCTACTTCTAAGGGCTGGGATGTCCCAGCGGGCGGCTCCTCCCAAACTCACTGTTTGGATCTGTATTGGGCGTCGCTAACCGCCGGCGAAGGACCTCTTTCCAGTCCATGGCTGACCCTCCAGCGACAGCGCCTGCATTTGTTGTTTCTTAGCCACTCCACCACCTTCTTCCACCCCCGACGTCGGACGCCGCCAGATTCCGTCGGGCTAGAAAAGCTGTCCCGCCGCCATCTTGGTCATGGGCGGAAATAGCAGCTAAAGGGGGGGGGGACGGTTTCTGTAGCTGTTCCTGAGTTGTGTCGATCGCGCTGAGGAAAAGCACATGTGAAAGAAATGAAAAATGAGTCTTATTAACCAGGCGTCCCGGTCTCACCAAGCCAGAAGACCAGGATAGGGAAGGCCGCGTCTTAGTTTCTTCCTGGTAGGCCTTTGGCGCGTGTGCACCACGTGATTCAGAACTCCAGGAGCGTTTCCGGTTTGAGAGACTCCCCTTCTTTACGATTCTTTTTTGCATTGATTTGGCGGGCCTTAACGGCCCCCTGAATGTAACAGGAGCGCCCGCGGTTGCCCATTGCCTCTGCCTGTAAAAACTAGCTTCCTCAGCACGCTCCTCGCCGAACCAGATCGCCGGCGTTCAGTTCAGTCCACACCGCGCGCCAGGCCCGACGCGGTGCGTTGTGGGAGATGTAGTTTCCACCGTATTTTTGCGTTCCTCGCGCACGAGTGAGGTGGTGAGTAGTTGAATGGAGTGGAGTTGGTCAGCTCTCTGTAATCACTCAAGTCGGTGCCCCTCCTGTACCTTGTTTCTTTACCCGAGTAGTTGGGCTCAGGTGACTCCCCACCTCCCCGACTCCTTTTTACCCACATCAGGCGAGTTTTGCGGCCTGGGTAGAATTGTAATTCGGGAAGAGGCCTCTAGACTTTGTTCGCTAGCGTTCTTGCTGGTGGGGCTGGGATTGGCGGTTCCTTGAAACGGGTTTTTTTAAATTGTTTTTTATTCGTCTTCTAGTTCCTATGGGATCCGCCCATTTTCAAAATAGTGATCCACCTGAGTCAAACTGTGCTTTTTTTCCTCAGGTCTTCGGGCTGGAATGTAACAGGCCTCAGAGGATTCCCGCACTGTTTCCAAATTTAGGGCTGATGACCCATGTTAAGGTCCCCCCCATGGTTGTTTAATGAAGAAAACTCACCTGCCCTCGATGTTAAGTAGTTCCACAAAAGCAGAGCCTTAATCTGCTTGTAAAGAAGAGACAGTCTCCTTTTAAATAATCACATTTTGCCTCCAATTTCAATTCTTTTAATATTGCTATAGAAGTAAGGGTTTTTTTAACTGTCTCGTGCTGGTCTCACTGCATAATGACCTTCTGTTTGTCTAGTATTCGAAGCTTTTCTAAGCTTTGGAAGAGCAAGCTGCCGTGCCTTGGGCTAGGCCCAGGGCACTTCTACCTCTCTCTCTTTCTCACAGACTGTGGCATCAGGAACCAACAGAGGTGGTTCTTTCTTAAAATGTCACCACAAAATACCAAAGCAACGAATGTGTTGGCTGCCAAGGTCAGATTTGTCAAGAAAGGAGATGAAGACAGAATTATGCAAAATTCTTCTCATCCTCATCTTTTTGCTGCTGGAGAAGCTAAGAAGAGATCACAGATGAATGCTCACAGTAAAGATCACACCTTGTTACTTAAGGACAATATTCAACTCCCAACAAAACCTTTGAATTCAGAGGAGTGGGATAAATTTAAGGAAGATTACACAGGAAAGGGCAATTTTGAAAACTGGATCAGCTCACAGATGTGTTGTAGCAACAGCTCTGTAGATGTGGCTAAATCTCTCTTGTCATGGGTAGCAGCAAAAAACAATGGTATTGTAGACTATAATTTATTGGTCAGATATTTGTATCTCTGTGTCTTCCATAAGCAGACATCAGAAGTTATTGATGTCTATGAAATTATGAAAGCCAGATACAGGAGTTTAGAACCTGGGGCTTACACTCTTCTCATCCGGGGATTAATCCAGTCAGACAGATGGAGAGAGGCTTTCCAGCTATTAGAAGACTTTAAAAAAGTCATGACCCCTTCAGTAAACAACTATGATGACTGTATCCAGGGAGCCCTCCTTCATCGAGATGTGAACATCGCTTGGAATTTATATCAGGAATTGCTAAGTCTTAAACTTACTCCTAGGTTGGAAACTTTAAAAGCTCTCTTTGACTTTGGAAAAGACATAAAGGATGATCACTATTCCAACAAACTACTAGACATTCTTTTGTATTTAAGAAATAACCATCTGTATCCCGGGGAGTCGCTTGCACTCAGTATAAAAACATGGTTTGAGAGGTAATTTTGACTTTTATGTTGTATATGTTTTTGGTAACTATATATTTTTATAACTATTAAAAAGCCCTTTTTGTTGCTGAAAATTATTTTATTCAGATTAAACCTTTTTCCCTCTCTAGGTAAGATTTATTTTCCCTTTAAGACAACAGTCTTTCTGCTTAAAACAAGTAGTAGCATAGGGCTGGTGGGTATAGCTCTATAGAGTTATTTGATTTGTTTAGCATGCTTGAATCCTGGTTTAATCCTCAGCACTTGGGGAAAAAAAAAGTAGCAGAGTGTGTAGTAGCATAGACATTTTATGCTAATCTGTTCCCTTCACATAAAAAGGAAATTATGTGGGGTCCGGGATTGAGCTCAGTGGCACTGCCCCTACCTCGCAAGTCCAAGGTCCTGAGTTGGATCCCTGGGGTGGGGGGATGGAAATTACAGAGCACTTTTTTTTTTTTTTTTTTTTTTTTTTTTTTTTTTTTTTTTTTTTTTTTTTTTTTTTTTTTTTTTTTTGGTACCAGGGATTGAACTGAGGACCTTGCACTTGCGAGGCAGGCATGCTGCCACTGAGCTAAATTCCCGGCCCTACAGAGCACTTTTTTTTTTCATGGTACCGGGGGTACCGGGGTCTCAACTGGGCCTTCCCACTGAGCTTTCAAGAAAAGAATACAGTGGTACCTTGGTCACAACCTTAATTCTTTCCATAATTCGGATAGCAGAATTCATTGGATTCTAATTGCAACCGGATTCTGGAACAAATTCTGCAACCAAAATAATTAAGTGATAACCAAGGTACCACTTCATAGCATTTGACTGGATCTGTCTTTAGGCCATCTTAATATTTTCAGAAGTTTCTCTGAAATCTAGTGATGGGATATTGTGCTCGTACATCATGTTTACAGAGCTTTGAAGTAGTAATTATGCTTAACTTAAATCTTTGACTTTATTCTGTTATCAAGAATGCTGATTTTGGAGTGGATTTTAGAAAGATAATTGCCAAAACAGTGAGGAGACCAGAAACAAAGTTATCTGTTTGAATGCAATTAGGTTTGGGTGAGAGGCATTAAGGTCCTGAATTAAGAACTGGGGAAGGAGAAAAGACCATACAATCGATAGGAACTGATAGTAATATATGTAAGAGAAAAAGATAAATTGATTGAGCAAATAAATTGACAGTTAGTTTTTGAATGCCTCCAGTTAGGCTAGGCAGTGTTTTGTGATATAAAATCTGTTATGATGGCCTTCTCAGCATAATTAAGAATATGATTCCTAGCTGGGCATGGTGGCACACACCTGTAATTTCAGCACTCAGGAGGCTGAGGCAGGAGGATTGCGGTTTGAGGCCAATCTGGGCTACATAGTGAGTTCAAGACCAGCCTGAACTATGTAGCTAGACCTTGTCTCAAAAAAAGAAAGAAAAGAAAAAAAAAAAGAATATAATTCTTGACAGTTAAGAAGCAGTGGCCTATAAGAGAGAAGTATGAGAGAGGAGAGAAATTACTCTGAACAGGAGCAATTTGGCAACTCTCTGGAAAGGTCAGAGATGAGTTTGGTTTAGAGGTCATCTTCTTTCTGTGGAGCACCAATGGAGGTGTATTTAGACTTGGAAAAGATGCGGGAGAACCAAAAGGAGGAAGGCAATCTGGAGTAGGAGCCCATCTGCTCCTTCATCCTGTCACAGTGCAACAACCGCTCTTGGCATTAAACCATTCTAGGGAAGTATACTGCACTTTTGAAAGCTCTTGCTTACAGAGTTTTTACATATAGTGAATATTTTTTGCCCAATGAGAATGTAACCTTCTGATGATTTGGCTTTGTGATTTATTTTTTTGTAGTATTCCTGGAAAACAATGGAAAGGCCAATTTACTACAATCCAGACAAGGTAAAAGCCAATAGTTGTTTTTAACTTGTTTTATTCAGATTCAATAGGGTTTGTTGTTGATTTAAAAATATTTAAGAATGCTTTAGGGACAGGATAATTAAGAGTTTATGATTAGAGTACCTGAGGCGAAAAAAAATCATGTTTTGGGGCTGGAGATTTGGCTCAGTGATTCCTGCCACCTGCCTTGCAAGAGCAAGGGCCTGAGTTTGATCCCCGGTACCATTTTAAAAAAAAAGTCATGTTTTGCATATGAAGACTTTGTAGTGTTCAAACTGTTTTTCTTGTTGATGTTGTGATGCTATATGAAGACACAAATATTTTCCTCCTAGAGATTTGGGGCTCAGTTGTGTTTTAGGAATTATTTTACAAATCTCATCTGGGGCCTGGGATTTGGCTCCATGGTTCTGCTACCTGCCTTGCAAGTGCAAGGGCCTGAGTTTGATCTCCAGCACCAAAAAAAAAAAATCTCATCTAGATGCTCAGCAGTCTACTCTTTGATTTTCTGGCACACCAAATATGTGATGTTTTCAGGAAGAATCAAGTGCATGTGACCATCATAAAGGTTTTAATGTTCTTAATACCTTTTAGTTTACTGTGTTAGAATTATTCATTTTAGAAAAGTTAATTTTCCATACATTAAAAAATTCTAATTGCAGTGGCCAGTGTTCAGCCTGTGGAAACACCATTGAGTCTATACAGCTGAGTCCAGAAGAATATGACTTTCTCAAAGAAAAAATCATGAGGGATGTGATAGATGGTGGTGACCAGTATAGAAAGACGACGCCTCAGGTGAGTCTAATGGGCTTTATTGTGCTCTTGGATTGCTAGTCTAGAACAGGGGCCAGCAGATTTTTTTCTGTAAAGGCAAGATAGTAAATATTTTAGGTTTTGTGGCCAAATGGTCTCTCTTGCAACTTGTGCTATTGTAATAGCCATAGACAGTATATAAATACATAGGTGAATGAGTATGGCTGTGTTCTATTAAAAGTTTTCATGAAAACAGCAGTAGGATGCATTTAACCTGTGGCTACAATTGTGAACTCTCCAGAGATTGTTGTGGCAAAGTGGAATAGCTCTGTGCTATTAGCCAAGTGTTACAGCTCTGAGGCACAGCTGAGTGTTACAGCTCAGTGTCAAAGCTACTGCAGTTTGATCACTTGAGAATCTGAAGGTCACTCGAAGAAGTGGAGAAAAACCTTTTTTTTTACACCTGTGGGCTCAGAGTTTGTACTCCAAAGTTTGACTATAAATGGGAGCCTCCTTATATAGGGGAGCCTCCTTATATAGGGATCTATGGGGCAGGAGAGCTCCATCACAGGGTCAGGGGGTGGAGTTAAAGAACATTCCTGAAAGGAGTGGAGCTAACAACATTATTGAGAGATCACATGGTTCAGAAAGTTATAAAACATTTTGATACATTGGGTAGGAACTGCCCAGAAGCACAAACTTACATTTCTGGAACAAAACATTTTGTGGGAAAAAACATGGAGCCGAGATGACTTTCAATTTCATAGAGTAATTTGTTATAGTATCATCTGTTGCAGTTGGTCTTGTTACATGTGGGTGTAATAAATGCACTAAACTAAAAGGATGATTGATGATTATTTCTTTAAATGCTTCTAGAAAATTACACTCAGGAAACACCTATGAAACCATTGTGGTTTCTCACGATTTTTCTAGACCAGACAATTTAGGGTAATTTGTTTTCATTGTCAAATTGAATGGACTATCATTTATAATACCTTTATTTTACTAATCCTTGGTACTTTATGGTAGGTATTAAGATTAAGTTGAAGAGGTAACGTGCTTTTCTTTTGGTCATCCTTAGGAAAAGTCTGCCCATCATCACTGAATCCTTTGTTTTTCAGTTACTGAACAAAGATGAGAAGTAAAAATTACTTTGCCTTCTTATCTTGCTTTGTAATTTTCAGAAAATATCCCTAGGTCATGTAAAATACCTTCACTCATCCAAATAAAGTCAAAATCTTTTCCATAAAGTTAGAACACCTCGGTGCCCACTTCAGCAGCACATATACTAAAAAGTTTGAACATCTTGTCCAAGCTGGGATTGAACTTGCTGTCTTCCTGCCTCAGCCTCCCAGAATGGTTAGATTTCAGACTGTGTCACCACATCCAGCACAAAGAGTTTTCTTATTTTTAGAAGATACATACTGAAATATCTAAGCTAATTTGTTGTCATTTACATAACTTACTTTGCCAGTTGGTTGTCACATATGTATATATATGGAACTGTGAACTGTCACTGTAATAGAGGCAGTTGAATGTACTGAAAAGGTTTTGGGGTCAGTGGGAAGCATCTGTGGGAAGATTTTATCTCTGAGGGTCTCAATCTTTATATTCATAAAATAGTAATAAAATAGTATCTTATGAGGTGGTTGTAACCATTAAATGAGATAAAGAGAAATAGAAAAAAATGAAATAAAGATAACGAATGTACTTAGCATTATTTAATAAGTGCTGTCATTTTATCAATAGGCAAATCCTCAGTACCACAAAAAAAGTAAGCTGTACAAATAATAATGTATGACCTTAAATAGTCCAGCTTGTATCTCTTAAGAATAAAAATTCTTTGTGCTGGATGGGATGGCACAGGCCTGACACGCCAGTACTCTGGGAGACTTGAGGCAGGAAGATTGTCAATTCAATCTTAGCCTGAGTAATTTAGTGAGACCTTGTCTCAAAATTAAAAAAAAAAAGCTTAGGGGTTTAAATAGGGAAAGACCCTAGATTCATTTCCCAGTAACACAGGAAAAAAGAAAGAAATTCTTTGTAACTAAATACTACAATCAAAGAAAACTAACCTTAATTCAGTATCAACTAATAAAAAGTACATATTCAAAATTTTCTAGTTAATCTCTTCAAATGTACTTTTTAGCACTTTTTTTTCTGTTCCAGAATTCAGTCTAGTTTCATTCGTTGTATTGATTTGATATGTCTCTCTAAATCCAGAACAGTCCCCTGAGCCTTTTAAAAATTTTTTTATTTCTTTGATTTTTGAGACAGGGTCTCACTAGGTACATAGTTCAGGCTGGCCTTGAACTCACAGTGTAGCCTACACTGGCCTTGAATTTGCAGCGATCTTCCTGCTTCAGCCTCCCACTTGCTGGGATTACAAGTGTGCACCACCATGCTTGGCTTCCTGAGCCTTTTTTTGCTTGCTTTTATGATGTGACTTTTTAAAAAGCCTAGGTGATTAACCTTGTACAGGGCTTCTCAGATTTTATGCCCATGAACCACCTGAAAATCTTGTTAAAATGCAAATTCTAGTATATCTGATTCATGTTGGTATTCCTTGGCTTTCGCTACTTTCTTTGCCTCTGTCTTCATGTGACCATTATGCATTTGTATTTCTTTATGGCATCTCTGCCCCACCACCCCTGTAGTTGGGATTGAACCCAGGGTTGCTCTACCACTAAGCTATATCCCCAAACATTTCTATTTTAAGGGGAGTTTGCTAAGTTGCCTGGAAGGGGATCAAACTTGGGGTCCTCTTGCCTCAGCATTTCTTCTTTTGTTTTTTTGAGACAGGGCCTCACCATGTAGTTCAGGCAGGCCCTCAACTCTGGAGCCCAAGCTGGCCTGAAATGGCAATCCTGCCTCAGTCTCCTGAGTGCTGGGGTCACAGGCATGTGCCACCATGCCCAGTTGAGCTCTTCTTCTTAGCAAGGTCTCCAGTCCTTGGATTTAGGGCCTATCCTAATCAGTATGACCTCATTTTATCTAATTACATCTTGAAATAATGTCACTCTCAGAGGTTCCTGGTGGACACGCAGTTTGAGGGAACACTCGCTATTCAATCTACTTCAGTTTTTCTTTTCCCTCTCTAGGACAGGAATGGTTGAGTGCTATGGTAGGTATGTGTGTGACATTTTAATTTACATTTTCCTAACGACAGCTGTCTCACATCTTTGTGTGTGCTTACTTACCATCCACATATTTTCCTGGGTGAAGTGTTTTTTTAAATCTTTTGCCAATCTTAAAAAGTGGGTTGTGTTCTTACTGAGTTTTAAGAGCTGTTTAAGGGCTGGGGATGGCTTAGGGCTAGAGAACTTGCCTAGCTTCGCACAAGGCCCTAGGTCTGATCCGTAGCACTGCAGCAAACAAACAATTGTTCATATATAATTTTAGATCCATGTCTTATGCCAGATAAACATTTTACAAATGTTTTCTCAGTCTGTAGTTAGCTTCATTCTCATGCCTTAAAGATTCTTCTTTAATTTCTCAGACTGAGAGGTCCAGGCTTTGGGACTTTCAGAGGCACCCACTGAATCTGAAAGTGTAGCCAGGATTCAGAATTCTTGCTTCTAATGTGAGAACCTGAAAACCCTAATGTGTGGTAGCTTCTTTCTTGTGGGAGAATTTTGGGAGAAAACTCAGTTCTGAAAGGTAAATTTTTAGCTTTTCTTTTAGATGTTTGCTGCACTTAGAAAAAACAGCCAGCAGATGGCAATAGTGTAACAAAAATTATTCTAAATTATGGCCAGATCAGTTAGGTTAAAGAGCTTGGGCGAGCTTCTTTTAAATTGAAAAACATCTATCATTTATGTTTCAGTTAGGTTAGTAATATTAAGTGAGATGAGAGCTATGTGTGTGTTTTTAAATGAACAAAGCAAGACTCTAAATAATATTGGTCCACTAATTTAATGACATTGAGTCGCTATCAATGAAAAAGTGGGCTTAGAGGTTGGCACATTGTTACATCCCTGTTGAGGGAGGCTGAGACAGGAGGATCTCAAACTGGAATTGTGCCTGAGCAACTCTGAGCAATTATCAAGACCTTGTCTAATAGGGGAGTTGGGGGCTGGAGTTGTAACTCAGTGGCCGAAGAGCACCTGTGGGTTTAAGCCCCAGTGCTGGGGGAAAAAAAGTAGACTTGGAGAATGGGAATAGGAACTATATGAATAGTGTTAGTGTCATATTAAGTTCTTTTTCCTCTTATGGTTCTTCATTCTTAATAATAACACTAAACTGTAGTCAGGCTTTTTTTCACATTCTGTTTCTCACATAAGAATTCAACTATAAAGAAAGATAGAACCACCCATAATGGTCCATTCATTTTGAACTTATAATGAAACTTAAAACACAATCATAGTCCCCATAATCCTGTGACTTAACACTTTAAATAAAAGTTTAATAACATAGGATTCTTGTCTCTGAAAAAAAAAGCAAAAGGCAAATTGCATATGTAGTTTTAAGTTCTTAGGGTTAAGTTTAAATCAACCATTTGTCTTGCTTGTTAATATCTCTTCTGTTAATTGACAGAGGGGAGGCTTTCTGGTGTTTCTCTTAAGTACCAATTTAAGACAGGACATACAACCCAAATGAAATGTCAGTATAATAAAAATTGATCTAGTATAGGCTTTAGGGTTTTTCTTTTGTTTTGTTCTTTAAAGAGCAGAGATCCCAACAGTGATTAGGAGTAGCAGCTGCAAACTGAAAGGCTTGAACTGAGCTCATCTCACAGTCTCCAGAAACTTCTTTCTCTCTGAGTTTGGAGATCTTGTTACTGCTAAAATGAACTATGAATTTTCCCCTAGATTTAAATAAATCTGTGTGGTAAATGGTGACCTTTGGAAGCTTAGTGATTAAAAAAATCAGAAATAAATTTACTGTAAAGTATGGTCTTAAACCATGGGTTTTTAAAGTATCTATTTATAAAAGCCCATTAACCATTAATACATAAAGTTCTCAACTTAAGAATATTTTGTTCAATGCATGCTTAAGAATTAATTGCTAATACTTTCCTCTTTCCTTCTTCCTCAAATTCA